GGAGGTGTGGCAGCTCCTTTGCTGGAGGTTTTCAAGAGGCTGGAGCCATCTGTCTGGGATGGTTTATTCCCAACAAATCCTGCATCTTGACAGAGGGTTAGACTAGATGACCTTTGCGGTCCCGTCCAACCCTATGATTCTATGGCTGCCAGAAACTGGGAGTGGACGAGAGGGGATGGGTCATTTTGATAATTGGCTTGTTTTGTTCATTCCCTCTGAAGCATCTGGCACTGGCCACTGTTGAAAGACAACTAGGCTAGATGGCCCATTGGTCTGACCCAACATAGTCATTCTTATGTTATGTTCTTATGTTCCTAGATAATTCTGGATGTCACTTCAGATCAGTGCTCTGAGGATTGGTCAATGAATGTTTCTGAAGTGTTTTGAGATCCTCACGCAGAAGGTGCATACAGAAAATTATTTATTCCATTGTAGCATCTAGAAGCCCCAGCCGGGATCAGGTCCCCATCGTGTCAGGTGCTGCACAGACACACAGTGAGAGACAGTCCCTGCCCCGAAGAGCTTACAGTCTGAACAGACCAGAAAGATTATTATCCCCTTTTTACAGGTGGGGGATGTGACGGGTTGGATCACTGAAAATTCCTTGGGAACGGCCAACTGATGTGCTGAGACTACCTATGAGCCCACCTTCCCGGGCAGCTTGGGACTTCAGTGCCCTGCCTGATTCGAGCCAGACACGCTAGCCTGCTACAAACATAGTCCCAGGTCTGAACAACGTCCCTGAGAAGCTACAGGCTTAACTGAAAACAGCGTAAGAAGTGTTCCTGTCTCCAACACTCAGATGCCCAGCTCCCAATGGGGTCCAAACCCCAAATAAATCCATTTTCCCCTGTATAAAGCTTTATACGGGGTAATCTCATAAATCATTCGCCCTCTATAACATTGATAGAGAGATATGAACAGCTGTTTGGCCCCCCAGGTATTAATACATACTCTGGGTTAATTAATAAGTAAAAAGTGCTTTTATTAATTACAAAAAGTAGGATTTAAGTGGTTCCAAGTAATAACAGACAGAACAAAGTGAATTACCAAGCAAAATAAAATAAAACACACAAGTCTAAACCTAATACTGTAAGAAAGTGATTACAGATGAAATCTCACCCTCAGAGATGTTCCAGTAAGCTTCTTTTACAGACTAGCCTCCTTCTAGTCTGGGTCCAGCAATCACTCACACCCCTGTGGTTACTGTTCTTTGTTCCAGTTTCTTTCAGGTATCCTTGGGGGTGGAGAGGCCACCTCTTGACCCAGCTGAAGCTAAAATGGAGGGGTCTCCCAGGGGCTTAAATAAACTTTCTCTTGTGGGTGGAGACCCCCTCCTCTCTCCTATGCAGAATCCAGCTCCAAGATGGAGTTTTGGAGTCAGAGGGGCAACTCACATGTCCATTCATGACTCAGTTCCTTACAAGTGGCAGCCATTGCTCACATGCTACCTTGAACGTCCCCAGGTAGACTTCTTATGTGGCTTGGGGTCTTCCAAGGTTCCCTTGTCTGTTAAGTGTTTCTTGACTGGGCACTTAACTTGCAAATTCCTTTCTTAGGAAGCTGACCAAACGTCTTACTGAGGCTACTTAAAATCAAACAAGTACACAGCCAATATTCATAACTTCGAATACAAAAATGTTACATGCATACAAATAGGAGGAATAGATTCAATAGATCATAACCTTTGCAGAGATATGTTACATGGCATATGTAGCATAAAACATATTCCAGTTATGTCATATTTACATTCATAAGCATATTTCCATAAAGCATTATGGGGTGCAACATCACAGGGAAATTGAGGCCCAGGGAGATTAAACAACTTGATTAAGGTCATATGGGGAGTCTGGCGGAGTCCAGAATTGAATCCATCTCTCCTGAGTTCCAGTCCAGTGCCTTAAACAGGACCTGTCACCTTTGCTGCCCTGTTTTGGTGTTACCATATGGCTGGCAGCCCAGGTTGCTTAATTCTGGCTTATAACAATGAGACAATCCTTTTGTCGTCCAATAAATAACCCCATAACAATTCTCTACAGCTGGAACCACATGAGGCCAGACCCCAGGTGGTGTGAATTGGCCAGAGCTCCATTGGAATCAATGGGGCCAGATCCCCAGCTGGTGTGAATGAGCCCTGCTCCACTGGAGCAAATGAACCAGATCCTCTGCTGGTGTAAATCAGCATCGCTTCATTGACTTCAGTTGAGCGTTGTGGATTTACACCCGCTGAGGAACTGGCCGTGAACATGTGTTCTAATAAACACATGCTCTGTTGAGCCCACATGGCTGCTGTGAGGCATCTGCCCTAAAGGCCTAGGACAGCTACAATAGCAACCTGATATACTTACTGTAAACCACAACTGGGGTGATTCATAGCTTTGAAAATACAAATAAATACTTGAGTAGGGGCTATGTTGCCCAGTATAATCGCAGACCTTGCCTTCAGAGATGTGTATTCATCTCCCAGAGAGGTGACCTCACACAGGATTAGCTAGGGCAAATTTCACCATTCAGAGATAAACATAGAAATGCCTTCTCCATTATACCCCAAGTGCAGGGTGTTGGATGTAACCTACTTTAGTTAGGCCCAAGTTATGGGGAAGAACAACTCCTTTGGTGACACCCACTAGAGAAAGATTTGCCCAGCCGGGAACAATGAGATGAAAATAGCTCGCAAAGAGAAGAGGAAATGAATGTTATTCAAGTCCAGGGGTTAAAATTGCCAAGTGTGACTATAGGGAGGTGAGTTCAGAAGATGGTGGGAGTCCGGACTCCTGGGTTCCATGCCCTACTCCATAAACGTAGCCAGCTCTGGAGGACAGATTCTGCGCTCGCTTATGTTGGAGCAACTCAGCTGAAATGAAATGGAGTGACCAGGGCCAAGTCAGTGGGAGAGGAGACTCTGGACCTGTGAGTTCAGTGGAGTTGATCTAGATGTCTAGGGACAGATTTTTAATGGGATTTAGGCACTTGGAAATGCAGACAGGCACCTAGTGGGATGTTGTGAAAGCCAAAAGTATAACTGGGGTCAAAAAAGAATTAGATGATAAGTTTATGGAGGGGATGGGATAGCCTAATTTTGGCAATGAATTGATCTTTGATTATTAGCAGGTAAATATGCCCAATGGTCTGTGGTGGGATGTTAGATGGGGTGGGATCTGAGTTACTACAGAGAATTCTTTCCTGGGTGCTGGCTGGTGAGTCTTGCCCACATGCTCAGGGTTTAGCTGATCGCCATATTTGGGGTCGGGAAGGAATTTTCCTCCAGGGCAGATTGGCAGAGGCCCTGGAGGTTTTTCGCCTTCCTCTGCAGTGTGGGGCACAGGTCACTTGCTGGAAGATTCTCTGCACCTTGAGGTTTTTAAACCACGATTTGAGGACTTCAATAACTCAGGCATAGGTTAGGGGTTTGTTACAGGAGTGGGTGGATAAGATTCTGTGGTCTGCGTTGTGCAGGAGGTCAGACTAGATGATCATAATGGTCCCTTCTGACCTTAAAGTCTATGAGTCTATGAGATGAGTTCCTGGAGGATAGGTCCATCAATGGCTATTAGCCAAGGTGGTCAGGGATGCAACCCCACGCTATGCGTGTCCCTAAACCTCTGATGCCCAGTGAGTGCCACGGGCTGTGCGTTGTGTGAAGTACTTCCTTAGGTTTGTTTTAAACCTGCTGCCTATGAATTTCATCAGGTGACCCCTGGCTCGTGTGTAATGTGAAGGGGTAAATAACACTTCCCTGTTCACTTTCTCCACACTGCTCATGATTCTGTAGACCTCTATAAAGTTATAAATCAAAGATCCTTTGGATAAGGCTGCTCCATTCGAGTGCTACAGGGATCCCAGAGTGTCTCAGAAACACACTCATTTGGAACCCTCGAACGGTGGGCAGGCAGTCCCAAGGTCACTTCATCGCATGAGGTTCCTTCTCTGATGATAACACTGCTTCTGCAAACAGCTGCCACTTTCTAGCACTAAGCAACGTCCTGATGATGGAAGCCAAAGGATTTTAAAGCGACCTTGCAAACTCCGGGCTTCCAGCAGCTCTGACAGTGTTAGTTCATTACTCTTTCCTGTCATCAAAGGATCTCAACGCACTTTACGATCATTCTTCAAACCAATCCCCACACACCATCATAAGCCCCACGTTACAAATGCAAGCACAGAGCTGGGGGAAGTGACTTGCCCAAGTTCAGAGAGTGAGTCTGTTGCAGCACTGGGAATAGAACCCAAGCGTCCTGAGCCATTAGCTAGCTGCAGGAGAGCCGGCGTCAAGGCCTGCTCTGCCACAGGTTTCCTCTGTGACCTTGGGCCAGTCACTTAACATGTCTGTGCCTCACATCCCCGCTGTAAAATGCAGCTAATATCCCTGCCCTTATACACAGGGGGGTTGTGGGGACAAAATGCCATAATGATTATGAGGCTCTCAGGTACTATGGTGACCATATAAGTACCAAGATAGATATACTGTGTTCACCTGCCCCTGAGCTGGGAGTTAAGGCTCCCAGCCTCTGCTCTGACCAGCAGGCCTTAACTATCACCATGGAGATTTCAGATTGGTTCTCTAGGACTTTTGAAGGATTCATCCATCTTTATACAACATAGGTGTTTATTGGGTAACAAGGGCTGTGGACTGAGCTGTCTATGGCTGGGTCATGGACATCAGGACTGAATCAGCTAAGCCAGACTGCCACAGATGTAGCAATTAGTTTAATGGGGCAGATCCTGTGTGATGCAAACCCGTCGTCAGGGCCCGATTCGCTGCAGAGCAGGATGGGGATCGGCGAGCCTGGTTTTAACCACGGGGTGGGAGGTGGACTGAGAAAGGAGTGGGGCGGAGATTATTATTTTTGCAGGGGGAGGGGGCGTTTGGGTAGTCTCTGGGACACACCCACCTGGAGAGGCCCTGACATTTACGACTGTAGCCTGGTATGTTTGTTTTGTGTTAATATGAAATCAGAGGAACTTGGAAAGACCCCTGTGAGCTGGGGATTCCCTTTAAGAGTTGCTGGTTGGAACTTGTCTGTGTTAGCAAAGTCTGTGTCCCTGGAGCAAGGGAAGGATCAAAGCTTAATGTGGGGCCTGGGCTGAAGACTCAAGAACAATACCAAAAAAGAGAGACCACGGATGTGAGCCTGGGACAGGCCAGTTGCTAGGAAAATGGGCATCAGAGGGGATCATAGCTGCAGCTGAATGAGCAGCCCACGCCTCGTACCCTTTCAAGGTCAGGAGTTGTTTGCACTGGCTTGGCATTTGTACTGGTCTCAATCCAGAGGAGGGAGGAAGGAAAAAGTGGTTAGGGCGCTGACTTGTGACATGGGAGTGCCCTCTTCTGCCATAGACTACTTGGGTGACCTCAGCACAGGACACGGAGACGGGGAGGGGGTCACCTGGGCCATGGCCTGGCCTCTTCTTGGCTGGGCCAAACCTGAATGGCGCTGTGACCCCGTGTGCTAGGTCACAGCATCATTCACTTAAATTAGGAGGTGGTGGGTGTCAGGGTCCTGGGCCAGGGGGAGGGTCAGGCTGCTGGTGGTGTGGGTGCTGAGAGGGGAAGGGGAGGGAAAGCTATTCTCCCCCCCCCCCCCCCCTTTAAATCATGCTCTGTAGCCCCTGGACTTTGGGCAAGTCACTTAATCGCTGTGGGCCTCAGTCCCCCATGCATACAATGGGTGTGACATGCCCCTGTCTCAGGCAGGTGTTGAAGGTTTTTGAGGGGCTCTGGGAACAGGGCCCCCAGAGAGATTGCATCAGTGGAATTCCTCTGGCTTTACGCCAATGCAGCTGAGATCAGAATCTGGCCCTGGGACCCTGACAGGAGGCACTGGCGAGTAGGAAAAGTGTTTAACGGGGGATGCCGGCAGGAGTGGGGGAGTTGTGCCTTAGGTTATGGCTCACCTCCCCCGTTGATTGCTTTTCCTGCCACAGCCCCCTTCTGGCAGGTAAATGACTTGTCTGGCACACTCACCCACCGCCCAGTGGGTGCATGTGACACTGCTCTACCAGTCAGACCCTTTGTGTCAGGAGCTGTACGAGTTTACACTGGCTTGGAACATCCACCGGCAGTTGCACCCGGATGGGTGGGTGGCTCCCCGGATGCTATCTTGGGCCTGTGACGTAGGGCAGGAGGGGAGCGGCCCACTGGGCCGCTGTAGCCATTGTTTACCCAGCTAACGTGGGGCAAAGTTCACGTTTTACAGCCTGGCCCAACTCCCCGCTCTCACCCTCCTACCCTGCTCGGTCCCTGCGGAATGTCTCCACCTCGCTCCCTAGCAATGCTTGTGTTCACAGGGAGCCATGGATACGCTGAGTGGTGCCTGCCATCAGAGGAGCACTGAGCCAGCACTGTGTAGAGCCAGCCCTGAACTTCGGTTGGAAAAGGTGAGTCCGCTTCTGTGTGACCTCATCCAGTGGCGGGGAGGGGAGTCTCAAACATGCTGGGCCCCCACCTGTGAATTATTATCCCCATTTTACTGATGGGGAAACTGAGGCATGGGGGAGGGATTTACTCCTGGTCACGTAGAGCTATTTCCCCTAAAGATGTCCGCTGCCACACTCGGAGCTGGAGTTTCAAAAGACCACTGCACCTTTTGAAAATCCAGCTCCAATTACGGGTGGTGAGCCTTTGAAAAACTGGCCCTTAATGAGGAAATGGAAGACCTGGGAGTAGAACCCTGTGAGTCCTCACTCCCACTCTCCTGCTGTAACCCCTACACCGCACCCCACTTCTGGGGATAGGCCCCAGGAGCCCTGAGTCTAGGGGATCGGATGTCCTGCTTTTATAGGGACAGTCCCGATTTTGGGGTCTTTTTCTTATATAGGCTCCTTTTACCCCCCAACCCTTGTCTCGATTTTTCACATTTGCTGTCTGGTCACCCTACCTGATTCTCAGTCCCCTTGCTCTAATCAGTAGGCCTCACAACCTCTATTTTAGCAAATGCCCTGCCCTTAGTTTTGTCCCCAGTGGTTCTTTCTGCAATCTGAAAACATGACAGGAGAATTCTCGGCTGGTTTTTGCGACCCCCCCTGGCTTGTTAGAATCAGAATTCCTCAGCTGCAGCTCCTAACGGACAATTCCCCCCAAACACAGACACACCGAAATGTGTAGCTGCCAGTCGGAACATCTTGGGTCTGTCCAGCTAGGCTAGACACCTTCTGAGAACCAGGTCTCTCTTGGGGGGGGGAGGGGTGGTTCTGCCCAGATGCAGCAGATACCAAGTGAACATGAGAAATAAGGAGTCCCGTCCCGTGTTTCTGTGGAGTCAGTGCAAACCAGGGGAGGGGGGGAAATGAAGAATCAGGTCAGTTCTTCTATCTATTGTTCTATAGGGGTTCTTACACTGCGCTTATCACCCAAGTACGTGAGGCCCAGATTCTCAAAGGCATCAAACCCCCTAATTTCCACCACGCCTGTTCGTTATGCATGAAGCACCGTGACGCCACATCGGTTTACGTGTCATTTGGTCTCTCATCCTCTCCCCAAGGGGAGACATGTGGACAGTGGCCTGTCTTGTTTGGGTAGGGTTGTAGGGGGGTGGTTTTATTTTAAGACATACACGTTGCTCTGTACTTATGTTAGAAAAGACAGCTCAAAGAAGCGCTCCTTGGCCTTGGAGCGGAAGGTGGGGAGGTTTGGGATGGGCCTGAGTTTCTGAAGAAGTTCATTCCACAGCCTCAAGAGAGATCTGTCTCTCAGGTTTGCTGCCTCCATGGTTCGAGCAGGGCTCCCCTCTCGGGTCTACCCCGCCTCTAAGGGGCAACTTGCTTGGCGTGAACACAGGGCAAGACAGAAATTTGCTCCGGTTCAGCGCCTCTCTTCACCCAGGTGCAGGATCAGGTCCCCCTGAGCTCATCCTCCTGGAATGCAGCAATCAGTGCAGCGGAGGAGGGGGAAAAGAAGGGGAAACGGCACGCCCTTTTGGCAGAGGAGGAGGACGGACTGGCTCCCTGCGAGTTGGGATGCGAGGAGGTGGCTTTGCTGCAGATGCTTCTTGTAGAAGGGAAGAAATGGCCTTCTGGAGGCTGCAGTCCCAGCTGGCACTGACCCCTGAAGCTGAGGGGGGCCAAGAAGCACCCTGCCCAGACGCCAGGGTTGAAGAGGAAGAGGGGATTTTTTGCCAGGTAGGCTCTATCCTGTGATGGTGTCTCTAAGCGGGGGAGGGAGGGAATCCTATTAAACTTCTCCCAGCCACAGGCTGCGTGGAGAGGGGCACCGAGCTCATGCTGAGGCCTAAGGGTCGATGGTTCCTTGCAGGAAGAGATGGTGAGGGACCCATTGCTTGGTCTTGTGGGTAGCTGGCTGGCTCAGAGGACTGGGAGTCAGCCTCTGGACGGGTGGCTGGGAATCCTTCTCCTCTGATCCCCACCGGGAGGCTGGTGTGAATTGGATTTGGTCACTGGGTCTCGCTCCAGATCCCACAGCTCAATAGCCAGGTTCAGCAGAGAGGCCGTAGGCAATGGATGCCCCCAGAGGAGGGCCCTGCCAGGGGTTAACGCTAAGCTCCATTGGCAGGACAGCAATGGGGAAGCTTGGCTTGCCCAGGCTGGTCTCTCTGTGGAGATGGAGGGTACCAGTCTCTGGGGCTGGCAGGCCAACACCACTACAAGGCTCTTACAGTGAAGGGAGCAGCAGGCTGAGAGGAAGGATGGTGCAGTGGTTAAGGTGCTTGCCAGGGATGGGGCAGACCTATGTTCAAGTCCCTGCTGTGCTATAGGTCCCTTATGGGGCTGTGGACAAGTCACCAAGGGCCAGATTTTGAAAGGTGACTAAGATGCAGCTAGGTGCCTAGTAGGAATCCCAAAGGCACGTCACTTTTGTAAACTGCACTGAGTGCCTACGCACCTTTCAAAATCTGCCCCGCAGTGCCTACGTCCCTTTTGTAAATGGGACTGTTAACTGGGGACGTCTGCACTACAAAAAACCCCAAAACCTGTAGCAGGGTCTCAGAGCCCGCGGCAACCGACTCAGGCACCCGGGGCTTGTGCTACGGGACTAAAGAGCAATGGAGATGTTCCCGCTCAGGCTGGAGGCCGGGCTCTGAAACCTGGCGAGGGAGGAGGCTCCAACATGAGTCCATACATCTATGCTGCTGTTTTTAGCCCTGCGAGCCCGAGTCAGCTGACCCTGGCTCCACGACTCACTGCCGCAGGGAGACAGGTTTGCAGTGTAGACGGACTCTAAGGCCCTTCGGAGTTCACGATAATGTCCCCTGAAGTCTTTCTGTGGCCTCAGATCCCCATCCGTACAAGGAGGAAAACAGCATGGCCCCCACAAGGGATTTGTGAGGATCAGTACATGGAAGACTTTGACCTGCTCGGGTATGATGGTGACAGGGGCCAGCTATCCTAGACAGATGGAAGAATTCACCTGCCCATGCTCAGAAAGACGCAGCATGGAGGGGTTAGCGTCTCTGCCCGCTGCACGTCGGGGCCACAGGCTTTGTTATCAAAAAGCAAACAGGGCCGTGGAGCATTCGCCCTGCTCCTCACGTTGCTTCCTGAGGCGTTCTCACGTGGACATGCTGTGGCCCTCTCTCCCCAGGTTCTGTTCTCACACGCAGCAGTGAGCTGGCACGAACATAAAACCCCAATCAGCTTCCTTCTTCTGCTCAGCTCTGAGAAAGAGACAGTCTGCTTCTCACAGCGGCTCCTGGAAACTTCCTTGCCGCGCCCCAAACAATCCCTCAGCGCGCTAGATCTCTTTCCAAGTCCTTGCCTGCTGAATCACAAACAGAGGAGAGAGAGTTGGCTGGTTACTCACCCAGCACCTGCAAAGAAAAGCACCACAACAAACCAGAGTGAACGGGACAGATTCAGTGCAACAATTAACTCATTCTTCTTTGCAGCAAACGTGGCTTTAGGGAGAACTCTAGGCCCTTTGGAGCAACTGGAGAAATCAGGAGAGGGAATGTGGTTGAGTGGTTAGAATAACAGCGTATGTGTCAGCACTCCCTGGGTTCTGTTACTGCATCTTAGTGTAAGTCTGGCCTAGTGGCTAGAACAAAAGAGTGGGTCTCAGGGTTCTACTACTCTTGGTTCTGGGTGGGAACATGGTATGGGTGTGAGAGCAAGGGCTTAGAAGGCTGGACACCTAGGTTCTTTTGCTGACGCTGGATGGGGAATGTGACCCTAAAAATTAAAACAGAGGTGTTATCGGTTCTGTTCTTGACCTTGCCATAACCTTGCTGGGTGACATGGGGTATTTAATCAGTCATGACCTGCATGCCTCAGTTTCCCTTCTGTAAAATGGCTATGACACCACCACAAGGGAGTGCTGTGAGGCTTAATTAACCAATATCTGTGGTTGAAAAGGTGCTAGAGAAGCATGATGTTAATACATGGCAGGAGATCAAAAATGACGATTAGCCTTCTCTGAAGACACTTAAGCAAAACTCCAGAATAATCTCTGTGGATAGGCCAATTAGGCAGCAGCTCCAATGGAATGTACCACCCAGAAGTAAATATAGCTGACTTCTATATCTTCTTTAACCAGCTATGCCATTAAACTTCTCTTTGACATATTTCTTCTGCAGGACACAATCTTCACCCCCTTCCTTGTTCTGGGCTGCAGCTGCTAAAGTTACTTAAATATCCCTCCAAAGCAAATGACTAGAAAACAATTCAGTCATGTTATGTATGTTTTGCTCCAATGCAAACAAATGCAAGATTCTTTAGTTTTGTTAGTCTCTAAGGTGCCACAAGTACTCCTGTTCTTTTTTTGAAGATTCTTTAAGTTCATGGACCACATACATGTAATGTTCTGGATACAAATGACTGCAAAATTAATTTAGAAACAATGCATGCAGTCTCGATTATACAAATAATAGCAATGAAATTAAGTTGTGCATTGTATGTAAGTCCATATATTTAATTCAAAAATAATAAAAATCTGTGCATTAATTTGCATGTAATATAGCTTCCAGTACAAATGGCTGGAAACTACAATTAAAAATCCTGCATTGATTTTCATATAATTTCTTGATACAAATTGAAAACATCTGAAATTTTGAATATTTTTTTTGCATTCCAATTAAAGTCAGTGGAAAGCAATTGTAAACTATAAATGCAGCATCCCCCTTGTATCAAATAACTAATGTAAATATTAAAAACCATATCATGTGTACATGTAAATTAGTTATCCTATGGATAACTATCTTAGAAAACATAAATAACAGTCATGCATTTTTCCATGTAATATCCTCCAATGCAAATAATTACATAAGAATTTAGAAGAGTTCGGTAATTAGACAATTAAATGACATGGATTCATTTCCATCTATTATCTCGCATGCAATTTTGGGAAAGGGGGAAATGATGATTAAAAGCCCATACTTTAATTTGCCAATGCAAATAGATGGGCGCAAACAACTGATAACCAGAAC